TCACATGGCGATGGTGTTGGAGTTGTTGTTGGAGCTGCTGTTGATGCTAAAAGGTAATGGAAAATTAGAATCAAGAACTTCATTTAATAGAGAGTATTGTACAGGTTTTGTACATGGTATTAAGGAATTGAACAAGCATTAAGAGAATAATAACCTAATTCGTTTGTTTTGCAACCATTGCTGATGAGATGCTACAGTATGTATTCAAGTGTCTCTTTCCAGACGATTTACAGATCGAACTTCGGAAAAAAATTCAAAAAGCGAGCATGTTGGCTTTTCCATGACAAGTAAAGATTGTCCATTTTACCCCATTTACACGAGCAATTTTTCCTTGTCAAGAAAAACTTGTTAAGGAAAACTTGCTCTTGTAAACGCCGCCACTGACCTGGAGATGTTGTACGTGCTGTTGTTGTTGGCGCAGGTGTTGCTAAAAAGAAATAAAATTTCATGAAGTGTTGTGATAATATTCACTTAAGAGTTAATTCATTTGTCACATACTTTTGCATCCAGCAGCAGCACGAAGGGCATAAACTTTTGCATCCAGATGYTTGAAGGATGCTGCTATAAGTACATTCTCAGGTGAGGAAGCCATGCTTAGAAGTTCATTTCTATTAACCTTTTTGCCWACACCTACAGCATATATTTTGACATTCATAGCTTTAAAAGGAGCTGCTGCAACATCGAGTGGAGTAATTTGTCCTTTTGTGGTTTGTTTGCCATCGGTGAGAACGATCATTGCCTGGTGGAGTAAAAATGCTGTAAGCAATTTGTCTTGCAACATCGTTGCAACACATGTTAAGCCTACGTACATTCAGTTTATTTTCAAAATTAACCTCAGACCGTGTTTACGGGTGAACGCTGGATAAACTCAGGCTACACAAGTTTGTGCAGGCAGAAAATCATATCCCGGATACACTTTGCAATTTTTCCCAGCAACTTGCAACGTTATTTTACAAGATGGCGGACATTCGAAATGGAAATTATAAGTGCTCTAACAGGGTTGTGACTCAAAAAGTTCGGGGAAAGTTTTACCTGCTCTCAAAAAAAAGTTAGAGGAAGGATGTTGAATGGGGTTCCAAAATGCTGCAAACGTTGCAAAAAACGACCTGAGGTCTACTTATAGAGGATATTACATGGTCGCGCGGTGATACGGATTTCATCTTCGAGTGTTGAAAAGATCTCTCACGAGTGAGCTTAGCGAAAGACATATACGTATTTCATAGATAATTATAAGACAACGACAGTGGGTAGAACATTTGTCCATTAAACACCGCTGGTCAACCAATGGTGGCAGAACATCACAAGTGTTCCAACCAGTAATACAAAATAACATGATCTGACCTTTTTCATTGACTTTCTCATTCCAGCACTTTCAACAAACACATTATCTTCTGCGAATTTCAAAGCCCTATCGATAWATGTATATCCTCTTTGCCATTTCATCTCTCCCAGAAGCCTCTTGGCCTCAGCAGCTGTGTAATACGACCCACTTGATGATTTGAAATTAAAGACTAATTTAGGCTTTGTGCTATAAGCAATAACAGCCATGTGGGAGCCCTGTGGTGAGACAGAGAGTACATCGACAAGGGCTTGGGCGAAACTGATGAGTAGTACCCAGTTCCTTCGTCCRACAGAGCCAGAKGAGTCCAGGATTAGTACAACATCAATGTATTTGTCACATGGACCACCTTCAAATATAAAAAGATAAYAATGCTAAAAACATTTGAACAAAATGCCAATAAGAATGGCCAAAATACTAGTACGTTTTTACGGTTAATTTTACAGTACTGCAACATGAAGTTACATACCATATTTGTAAGATGGATCACCAGAAATACACTCCTTCTGACAKCCATTGAAGCAGCACTTAAAGCCTCTCTTACAGTTGATATCACGCCCGCACATGTCCCCACGCCTATCACAGATACCATCAAGACCTTTCCATGGTAATGGACATACACCTGGACGTAACTGATTACCTGGAAAATGGTAGGTGGTTAAAAATATGGTTAAAAWACAATAAATCAAACCAAATCAAAACATCAACTTACTTGGAACCTCACAGTTTGGTCTGAAAGGTCKCTTTACTCTTGTTCCAGATATCTCAACACCACTTGCGTCAACACAGAAGCTGTCATCTCCTTGCAGCTGAACTGGCTTATACTCTCCATCTCGTGTACATCTTGGGATGAACCTTCCTCGTTGGTACTGCTCTACAGCCTTCACATATGCTTTATGACAGGGAGTTGGTCGAGGTCCTAGAAAGCAAGAATCGATTAAAGTCATTCCTAAATTGACTTAAGTGTCCACATAGACTGATAGATACGTACCATAGCAATTAGGCCTACGAGGTCGTGACGTTCTAGTTCCACCAATTTCAACTCCATTTTGATCAACGCAGTAGCATGAGTAGCCATCACATTGMACATGTTCATAYTGTCCATCGGGTTGACATCTTGGTATGAAGCGACCAGGAAGATGGTCTTTGATAGCCACATCATRTTGTTCTTGACAGGTGGTTTTTGGAGGTTTAACTTCTAAATTGATAATTCAACAATATTAAACTATTGTCTACCTATTGAGGGCAGTATGAGTCACTAAAAATGTAGAATGAAATGAATTATGTGAAAAACTAAAAGATTCATTGTTTCAATGTGACAGTAATTTATAACAAAGATGGCTTTTACTTACTTTCACAATCTGGTATTTCAGACACGTGTTTTCGCGTATTTGGTATTTCAATACCATAGCCATCCACACACATGCACACAGATGCGGTACACTGGACAGGGTGGTAGGAACCATCTTCCAGACAGGTTGGAACAAAGCCACCAATTGCATAACGTGCAGTAGCCATGAGGTACTGACGCTGRCATCTTGTCAATCTCCATCCTGTTGTGCATTTATATTCCAAGTAAGAATTGCTATTAACAACTGTTAAGACCAAGTAAGGCCAAGTAATGCAAGATAGAAAAACCCTTCAAGGGGGACGACATGTAACCAACAACAACACGCCATAAAAACACTGATGCTAAACTCGAATAGCAAAAATATTGCACGGCAAGTTGGGATCTCTTTGATTCTTTGACTTCTCTTTGACACCGATAATGCAAACTTTATCAGGGTTTTTAAAGCATTTGGAAACAGCTCTAAAAGAAGGCATTTATCTAGCAAAAAGGCTGAAGGGACTGTGACATCCTATGCGAGTGACTTAAGTGACATTTTTCTGTACTATATTTTTAGACGTCAATCTTTATAAAAAGCGATTGTTTTGGCCATAAAATAGCAAGTTTTACACCACATTGCTGCAGATTATTCATAGTTCTTAATAGTTATCATACCTAATGGTCTGCAGTCCAAATCATCAAACCTTGGTCTAAGAGTACCAGGGACCTCAACACCAAAATTGTCAACACAGAGGCACACAGGTCCAAAGCACTGAACATCATTGTATTCTCCAGAAGGCAAACATTGTGGTACAAACCGTCCAGGTAGAAGGTTGGACAGTGATTTCTGGAGGTGAAGTTGGCAATCTGAAGGTTTCCAACCTGGAAAATTAACGATGCAGTTGTARAAAATATYSATRTCYCTTCCCTTAGAGAGTGSTGGAAATWGTAAGRGGTGGTTGTAGAAAAGGTAATTAGTTCGAGGSATTTCATTATTTCCACTGCAATCCAGCTGTTTGTAATAGTTTTATGTAAGGGGACAGTATTTACCAGTCACTCCACAATCTGGCCAGCCTTGTGTTCGACTTCCTGGAACTTCCCTTCCTTCTTCATCTACACACCAACAGTCCCAWCCACGGCCACACTGGACAGGTTCGTAGCTACCATCTGGACGGCACATTGGAATTCTACGACCAACAACGTGCTTYTGCAGGGCCATTTCATACTGTTTCTGACAAAGGGACAGTGGTTGACCTAACGATGAGAAAATACATTGAATAACATTACATTCTATCTGGTTTTGCTTTGGCAAGAACTTTAAGTTTCCAATTTTTGCGGTAACAAATTGTAAGGTGTACGTTTTGATTTTTCAAAATGATTGCAACTTTCTTCTGGAAAACAATGCAGCCAAAAGAAGAAATTGTTACAATTTGGTTTTGGACATTCCTCTAGCTTCAATAGCAAGGTATTGATGGCCGTTGGCTCGGAGAACGGAAATTACATTCACTGCCAAAAATGGATTGTAATACTCCGATTCCGAGTTCTGGTTTGCTCTGTGTTAGCCTCAAAACCAAGCAACATATTCTTTTGTTTCATTGATAGCCCGAGAAAACGCATGGAATTTGAAAAGAAAGACAATGGAATTGATTTGAAATCTCACACTTTTATTCTCACAATTAGGAATGTTTTGCGCACAAATRAGGCTAACACAGAGCATTGGAGAATTCGAAACTGGATTATTGGATATGATTAATCCAATAGAGCAAACAGACCTGGTTCTCTACAGGAAGGCAAGATTGGAAGTCTTCTCGAAGACCCTTCAATCTCATTCCCAAGTTGATCCACACAGAAACAGCTACCAAGATAACACTGCATTGGTTTGTACTGCCCATTTGGTTTGCATTGAGGAACAAATGAACCGAAGTTCTTGGTTGTTAGAGATTGCTGGTATTGCTGTTCACACTGCGTCAGTGGACGACCTTCAAATAATAAGATCCGATTAATAAGCTCAAATGTGCTTGCTAAACGTGAAGGAATATCATTCATAGCTCAGTGATAAAGTGCCAACCCGATATCTTTTGATCCTTGCGCTCCTAGTTAATTTTCCATTCAAGGTGACGATAGTTTTCCATTCAAGGTGACGATAGTTTTCCATTCAAGGTGACGATTTTTATGAGCCATAAATATAATGCCCCAGGCACTAATCCCATGAAAACTACAACCTGTGTTTAATCCTATATCCAAACCAAAAGAGACCTACACCTCATGGCCTCTTGCTGATGCTATGAAATTTCAGTCCTGCTATTGTGTACCAGTGTGGAATAGGAAGTAACATACCTCTCACTGCGCATGATGGCCATCCCCTTGCACGAGTACCAGCTCTTTCTTTGCCATTTTTACCCACACACCAACAATATCCAGTAGGATTACATTGTACATCTTTAAAACTGCCATCCTTCCAACAACGAGGATGAGATACTCCAAGTTGGTTTGCCTTCACTTGTCTATACCCCTTTTGGCATGGAGTTGGACGATGTGCTTCAAAAAAGAATATTCAATGTTATTCTCATATAGCTTACTAAACAAATAGCATGGTCAGTCTATTTTTTATGGTTTTACAATATGAGATATTATCATATGACCCGTATTTCGGCCCTACGCGCGCTCTCACTGAAACCTTTGGAAAATGGTCACGTGATGGGGTCCGTACGCCTTTTCGCGACAGGTCCGTACAAACCCGTATTTTCCCGGCTTGAAGTTCCGCGCGCTTTTATTTATTTTTTTTACATTAAAAAACGCTGTCATATGATAAAATGCTTATTGACTGAGTTAGGTCGGGCCGTAGGGGAAAATATTTGGCTCTCGGTCATTTGTACGGCATAACCTCGAGCCAAATATTTTCCCGTACGGCCCTCCCACTCAGTCAATAAGTACATAATATTAGACAATTGTGAAAAAGAACTAACCTGCTTGTTCACATGTTGGTGGTGCAAAGTAAGGTTTTCTAGTTCCTGCAATTTCAACTCCCTCATTGTTGACACAGAAGCAGATAGAGCTATGACATTGAATAGGTTCATACTCTCCACTGGGACGACATCGTGGTACATAGCTTCCATAGACATGCTTCTTGAGTGAATTGTGGTATTGTTTCTGGCACCTTGTCCAAAGATCACCTAGCATAAAAGATATTTTATTAAATGATGAAAGAATAGGCAACACGCAGCGACGCCATATCTCACACTTTTTTCTGTCTGCTAAAACACTCCTCACAAGCTATTTTTGCTTTTTCTCTACCGAAATAGATGTACCATTTTTACAATGGGCCTATAAAAAGTGTGTTGACAACAACTCGCATCACTCTTTATTATACAAAATGGGTTGCTGCACATTGCCTTTTGAAACTTCTTTCTTTCTTCCTGACAAAAAAAAAAAATCAAATGCAAAAAACAAGAAACACTAGAGATCCATACTTGTTGGYTTGTGTTTCTCTCTGATAACGTCATACTGTTTGTTAATGACTTGATGAGCTCGTTCAGGCAAACGCTGAGCTTCCATGTAAAACACATCGTCTTTASTTGAAGCTATTTCATCAAGCTGTCGGCGACTAGCCTTAGGTTTGGTGCCAACTGCTAGGATGTTCACTCCTAGCTTATTTAAGGGCTTGGCTGCAGCTTCGAGAGTTTTGGCTCCTGGGCGCTTTTCCGTCAACTTATCATTCACAATCACTACCAACATCTGGAAATGTAGAAATGCAGGTTGAGAAATATTGGTAGTCAATATAAATGAAGAAAGCTTATGATGACATTAAGAGAAAACGGAGAAGAAGATAAGGAAGACAAGAAGAAAAAGACTGGACGGCCAAACGGGAAGATAAGAGGTAGGAAAACGATGATAAAAAGATGACCGAAGCAAGGAAACAAGAAGATAGAAAGAAGTTAAGGGTAAGAAGTGCATCATTTGAAGGTGAAAAGGACAGCAACACAAAGGACACAAAAGATGAACAATCCAGAGTGGAAAGCATACGATGGGAGAATAAGATGGGCGAGGGCAACAAAAAGATAAAAAAAGAAGTATGGAAAAGGAGGAATTAAAGAAAGAATGAAAAGGATAATAAGACAGTAAAATAATAAAAACAAAACGGCTGTTCAGAAGTCCGAGGTAATAAGAAAAAAGAGGAAGAAGGCATGGAAAATCATACTTTTGGTACTTGAGGTCTCATTCCACCATTCTTGTCAAAAAGTTGTCTCCTGGCAGCTGCTAACGCACGTGTAATTTCAAGCTTCCCAACACCTGGTACCAAACGTGAAAGGGAACCCTTTACATTAGCACGTGTGTATCGTGGCCCACGCCACGTATTAAACCTAAAACCAAGTCTTGGTTGGTCAGCAAACGTCATAGCACCAATATGGACCCCTTTGGCAGACACATCAAATGAGTCCACAACACGCTTGGCATAGTCTATAAAGTACTTCCATTCRGGGGAGCCTTTTGGGGCTCCAATAAGGAATCCAATGTCGGCAGCTCGCATATTGTCTAAWAGGKTTAAAAAGAATAGATTACTAACCATGTTAAATAACTAAATACCCTCAAAGGGAAAATATGATTCTAATTACCTGGGGAACGTGGATAGGTTCTCCAAGCCTGATACAGACGGTTGCCAAACTGGGGAAGCTCACCATAAGGTACTCTGTATACATTATTTGGMCGTGATGCAATGTCATTAAGTTCACGGTTATTCACGTTTGGTCCCAGKCCAATTGCATAAATTTGGACATTTTTGTCTTTGAGGCCCTGGGTTGCTGTAGTTACTGGTATAAATCCTTGGTAGCGTGATTGTGGACTGGTTGTTATGACGACAAGATACTAGGAAGGAAACGACTGTAATGATCAATAAATAATGATTAATTAATAATGCCAATTATCATAGTTATTGTTACCTTCACTGCTGCTTTCCTCATCCCATTAGCTTCTGTAAACACTTCTTTGTTGGCCATTTTCAGGGCTAATCCCAGTCTTGGTTCACCACCAACTGGACGTGCATTACCAACCAAGCCAATCACTCYATCTGTATTGAGATYGTCACCTCGTAGAGTGTTAAAGTACAAATTCACTTTAGGCTTGTTACCAAAGGTGATCATGCTAAAATGTGTTCCCCATGGAGATACATGGAAYGATTGACTAATAGTTCGTTTTATGAATTGGATTATTTGTTGGAAGCGTTCTGGCTGGATGTTATCAGAGCCATCAACAACGAATCCAATATCTGCAGGTAGCCATCGATCTATAAAAGAAGGAGAAACCATCATTCAAAGCCTTTTTTATTGTTAACTTATGAATTAAGGCAAGCAGAGTTTTCATCACTTTTTCCAAAAATAAATGAAAAACAAAGTAAAAGAAACACAACATGCAGGGTAATTGTGAAATGGCTTCTTCACAAATTGCAAATCCAAAAGAAATTGATGGATTTTTTAGAAAAGGTTAGTATACCTCTCAAATACTTTAGCCAAGCTTCACCAATTCTCATTCTAACATTTGGAAGTGCGTTCACTGTGGACTTGTACATGTTGTTTGGGCTTGAGGCTATGTCTTTAAGATCTTGATCATTAGCACGTGGGCCAATTCCAAGCGAATAGGTCTGAATATCCTTAGCTTTGAGTTGCTGGGCAACTGTTGCTAAGGCTGTGTAAGGACCACGATCTCGTGTTTGTGGTCCATCGACAATTACAAGGAGGATCTGTATTGAATTAAAAGTAAAGATGTAGAATATTATAGAAACCAGAAATCAAAAGAATACATCATGAATACACTTACCTTGGCAGCATCTTTTCTTGCGCCACCTTTAGCAGTGAACAAGTACGAGTTGGCGAGCTCTAAAGCCCTATCAATTCTAGTAAAACCTGGTTTATATGGAAGAGTGTGGATGAGCCGTTGGACTTCATAGCCATTCTGACGGAAGCCTTTCAAGGTATTGAAGGAGAATGCAATGCGTGGTTGTTCGTTAAACGTGATAACACCTACGTGCGCTCCACGAGGTGATATTTCAAAACGGTTCACAAGTCTGGAGGCAAATTTGACAGTAGCCTTCCAGCTKGCCTTGGTGGTCTTTGGTGATGAGCCAATAAGCACTCCAATATCAACTGGGAACATYTGGTCTGTGTGTATTACAATTCAAAATATAAGCAATGCGATTCAAAACTTTCAGATAAAAAAATAAGAGATGAAAAGTGAAATGAAAGTGAGTAAACAGATAATAGAAGGAGAACGTAAAAAATGTCAAGGCAGATAATGGGGAAGACGAAAATGAAATGTAAAGTTATAGTGCTTACAAGGAAGTTATTCTGGGCAAAAGACCCTTGGAAATACATTCGGAAATTAATTATTTCCAAAGAAGGAAAAGAACAGGATCCGGTACATGTACAGTGTAAGAAGATAGAGTGCACGCCACATAAGCATGAAACAATTCTTAAGTAATTAGCGCCTAATAAGATTTAGTTATCAACTAACTAAGAATTTAGTGAGGCATAAACAAAGACAAGTTTCCTTTCTGGCATTGTGTTCATGCCCCAGTGAATTCTTAGTTAGTTGATAACTAAATCTTATTAGATGTTGATAGTTAAGAATTGTTTCATGCTTTTTTGGCGTGCACTCTAAACAGACAAAATTAGGAAGGTAAAGTAAGAAGTACAAATAACTATAACAACATGTACCTCTCCTGATGAATTTCCATTGATTCACAATAGATGGTATAAGAATTGGAGCCCGATTTAGACTGTATGCATAAGCATATCTATCCTTGGAAGCAACAGCTCKAAGATCATTCATGTTTGTATCAGCTTGTGGTCTTGTAGCTACTGCCATTATTGCTAGTACACCTCGATCCTGGACATTCTTAGAAGCACGACTCAGGGGAATAAATGAAGGATCATTTTTGTTGGTTTGGTCGCCATCAGTGAGCACTAAAAGGTACTAAAAAATAATAGCATTTCACAACCAAGAAAAAGAAAGCACTGAAAGACCTGTTGCACCATCTCAATGCTGCCAGTAATGCAAATAGGCTATTGCAGTATAACTCTATATAACTCTACATACAAACAAAAGCAATACCTTTGGTGCTGATTCTCTCATTCCATTCTCCTCCCTAAACAAGAAGCTTGCTGCAAGCTGCAAGGCCTTATCAATCCTWGTGCCCGTYGATTTAACATAAGGAATATTTTTGATGCTTTTYTGGATGTTTTCTTTATTCAATTGCCGTCCAGAGAAYGAGTTAAAACGGACTCGTACTTTAGSGGTCTTATCAAAGGAAATGACTCCAAAGTGAGTATCACGAGGAGATACTTTGTAACTGTCAACAATGTTGTTTGCAARGTTTAACATCTGAGTCCATCTCTTGGGTGTGGTTGATGGGGAGGCTCCAATTAAAATTCCAATATCTGCACCCCTTGGATGACCTAGGAGTTAAAAATTATGAATGTATAATTTGAACTAATGTGCAAGGAATTGGGATCGTCGCACTGAAATAATAATTATTAATCTATGTGACAATTGGTAAATATCACCCAAATTTGGGCTTCAACATGGGTTTGATTCCCCAATTTTTTTAGGGTGATTCATTTATGTAAATGTCACCCTACCAGTTTTCTTGCGTGGATCTTTAATATAACCCTTAATCACATCAGCAAGGTTTTCAGATACTGGAATAAGGCCYTCAGCCATTTTAACGCCGCCATGAGGTATGGTATAAATGTTTGCTGGGTGACTAGCAAGGTCTTTAAGATCCTGTGGTCTTGTTTTATGGGCTGTTCCAATGACAAATATRTTGATCCCCCTGTCTTTAAGAGGCTGGGCTGCTGCTTTRTGTTTRAGTTGATCGCTCACTAATCTGGTGTCAGTTGTTAGGAGTACTAGGAACTGTAAAAAATATATAGCAATTCATTCAATAAWCACTTATTATTTGGAAGTAGCTTAAAAAGTGTGTTCAATCAATGGTGAAAGGTACTGTAAAAAAAATACTAAGGTGTCGAAAAATATATTACATGTGTAATAAATAGTGCATTATAGTGTAGATTAGAAAAAAAAACAAAGGAATTCACTGTGCAACTTTGCACTTTCTTCTACAAAATAGTCCTAAATCATACTAGAGAATTAACAACAACAGTGTCAAACTATGTTGTTTAAAGTAAACAATGTCTATATTAGCACTTAGCATCSCCGTCTACCTGCCTTCCTTTAATGTAAACTTTTACTAATCAATTATTAGTGTTATTGCTATCACAATTAAAGTATATATCCATTGTCCATATTATGTACCTTTGGAGCACCATTCCTTGCTCCACCTTCAAGTGTCAAGAGTTGTTTGTTGGCCATCTTCAAAGCMAGATCAATTCTGGGTTGACCTAGTTCTGGCTTAGTACTATCAATCAACTTTTTGACAGCTTTAGCATTTATTTCATTAGATTTCAGTGTATTTAATCCAAAGATCTTTTTAGGCTTATCAGCAAACACAACATGGCCAACATGAACTCCTCGAGGTGAGACATCAAGCTTGTCAACAAGGTCCTTCGAGAATTTCAGAAGGTATTGGAATGAGGGTTTGTCATCACTGAAACTACTGGAATCAACTAAGAAGACAACATCTGCAGCACGATGTGGTTCTGTAATGACATAAATAAAGGTTATACCAATAGTGTTTCAAGTCCAATCACATTGTGCACTGTTATTATAGTAGTAGCCATGTGTTTCATAATGTAGAGAGAAGTCACTGAAAGGAGTTGTTCTGTTACTTGCCCTGCCAAAACCCATAAAAAATATCAAGTGAGTAACGCTGATAATAAGGTTTACTAGTTGGCTATTGGTCAAGAAATAACGTAATAACATAAACTGAAATCAGGATAACCAATAGCATTTTTGTATCTATTTTAGTTATACATGTAGATGCAGTTTTTAAAATGAACAATTTAAATTGCAACAGCAATAGTACTGCCTCCTTAGTAAATGTCAAGCCTATAATTAATTGTTTGTTTTACATACTGCATGTTGGAAGTCCCTTTATTCTTGTTCCAGATAACTCTCTTCCACTGATGTCCACACACCAGCAGTGAGTCCAACCAGGTCCACACTGCACCTCTTCATAGCGGCCATCAGGTTTGCATAGAGGAACAAACTTGTTATATGCATAGTTTCTTGTTGCTTGACGATACTCTATCTGGCATGGCGTCAGGTTTTCATCTGAAAAATTGTTATGGGTGAGATATGTTACACAAAGTATTTCAATAAGTCATTTCACGTCAAAAACATAAATGATACTGAAAGGTGAGACTGTACATGTACATAATTTGGAACCCTGAAAATGTCTAATAGGAATTACCAATACAGCTAGAAATAGTCTTCTTTACAGTTCCCAGCGCCATCTTGAAAGGTAGCCGTGCCTTTGCATCCAAGTGAGGCGACCGTTGAGCTTGCAATGATAGATATACCTTATTTCACACCTACAGACAATTATTCACAGGTATCTGTCATGGCAAACTCAACGGTTGTCTCGCTACGATGTAAAGGCAAGGCAACCTTTCAAGATGGTGCAGGGAACCCTCAAGAAGACTGTTAAGAAAAAAAGACTTACCACGAGGACTTTTCCTAACAGCCACCTGACAGTTAGCTGATGCTGGAAGACTGACCCTTGTTCCACGTATTTCAACACCTMTCTTGTCAACACAGTAGCACATCATTCCTTCACACTGTACTCGTGAAAACGATCCATCTGGTTCACACTGTGGTATGAACTGCCCTTGTGCAGAGTTCTGTAGCGCTGTCTTCCTTTGTCTTTGACAAGTAGTGAGAGAACCTCCTACCAAGTAAAATTGATAAGAAGGAGAACACTTTGTAATCAACAGCTGATCATCTAATACATCTAGATTTGATATCTGATATCATAATGAAAGCTTAAAGGTATTGTTACTACATACCTGCAATACCACAATTTGGCCTTCCATTTACCCTGGAATTGGGGATTTCCTGGCCAAACTCATCAGCACACCAACATGTAGAAGAGTAGCACTGGACTTTCTTATACTTTCCATTTGTATCACAGGCAGCAAGGTATCGACCTCTAAGCTGAAGTCCCATTTTATCACGTGCCATTATATTTTCTTTACGGCATGCTGTCAGGCCAGCTAAAACAAAAAATAGACACAAGAGCAGATTCAAAACTGTTGCAATAAAATCAAAGATAAATAAAATGGGGAATGAAAAAAATGGACAGGAGGGAAGGGAGGGATGGGGTGTTTAAGCATGGCATCTCACCTTCTCTTCCACACTCTGGCATTCCATATGTCCTTGTTTTTGGGATTTCCAGGCCACTCTTAAAAACACACCAGCATTCGCCTGTTGCCATAGAGCACTGGACACTAGAGTAGCTTCCATCATCAAGGCATGATGGGATGAATCTCACAACTGATGAATCGCCTGCCTTGAAGTTCAACTTATCATCTCGTTCTTTCTGGCATTTGGTGGGCTTGCCTTTTATATCTGTAGTCATGAAACTCAAGTTAACACAATTTACAATAAGTTTACAATATCAAAATTACAAACAAAAACACTGGAGAGACTTACCATCGTCAGTGCACGTGATTYTATCATTGTTTGCTACTGTTCCAGCGATTTCATTGCCATTTTTATCTGCACACCAACATCTCACACCCCATGCATACGAGCATTGTTTGCGGTTGTAGTTGCCTTTTTTGTTGCACGATGGTATGGGATAGTCTCTGATAGATGATGCAATCATACGCTCACGTTCAAGAGTACATGCTGATATTGTACCTAAAAGATTATGATCAATTACAAGTCATCTAGAGAAATCGTAGTCTGATTACAGCAAAATCATATACATCTCTTGCATTGTTTTCATGTCATCATGCACTCACCTACAACATTGCAGACAATACGTCCTTTAGCCCTTGTGAGTGGAACCTCACGACCAAACTTATCAACACACCAACAGAAACCAGTTGAGGAATGACACTGCACCTTTTCATACTCTCCTGTAGGGGTACACATGGGTGCAAAACGACCTGGTGGAGCCACACCCAATACACCAAGGGCTCTTTGGCGTTCTTGTTGACATCTGGTTAGAGAATCTGTGTAAAAAAGAAAATGTATTAATAGCAGTCAAAAATCTCCCAGAAGTGGAGAGCTCTCTGCAATTGTGTCGCCTGCATAAGTGAAAAATCACTTGTGCAGCCATGGCTTAACAGATGATATAGCAAGATGCTGATCTTCATTTTAAATAGGCAGTCATAATAAGGAAGAAAAGCATAAGATCATCGCTTAATTGGTCAAGTTTGCAGGCACTAATAAGCTTACCTAACAATGCACAAACAGGCCGTGGCCCTCTGGTCTTTGTTCCTGGAATTTCTCGACCCTGTTTATCAACACACCAGCAGAAACCAGAAGATCCATGACACTGTACTAAACTATATTTGCCACTTGTTTCACATTTGGGGACAAACTGTCCAACTTTAGCTACACCAGTCCAGCCAACTGCAATCTGACGCTCCTTTTGACAAAGTGATAGACCAGCTGAGGGGAACAAAAATAAAATTCTTGAGGCATATTTTATTAATTCCTTTATTCATCCACATGTATCTTCATTCTTCTATTCTTTCATTTGATTTGTCAATTCTTTTAATTCATTTCTTATTTATTTCAATAATCATCCATCAATAAGTGCATTTGCCCCCAGCACTTATTGCTCAAGATGCAAGTTTATTGACTTGATCTGTCATTGTAATCCTTTATTTTCATTTTCCATCCATATTTCAAGCCATCCATTTGCTCATTCATTTTTTTCCACTTACCACTATGGCCACAGTTTGGTTTTCCAGTAGTCATTGTGTTTGGGATTTCTTTTCCATAATTGTTAACACACCAGCACTGTGGTCTTCCAGAATGACATTGAATGTGTTTATAGCCTCCATTTTTGTCACATTTGGGTACAAATCTACCAACAACTGGTTCAAATGGCTCCCTCAATGAATCTTTGTGTTCTTTTTGGCATTTTGTCAAATAACCTTGAAATGGGAATATACTGTTTAGGAAAGAGTACTCAAAGTAATAAAAAAACAGTTTTGCATTTTCTGTGTTTTGTATTAGTACAAAAGAATTGTAAAATAATACATGTGGATCATTATCTAGTCCATTATTTGCCTAGATCCTTTTCTGAAATTATATAATTACTCAGCCATAATATCCAAAGTTAACAATTGAGAGCAAACATTCTGAAATGCGAGCAATATTGTGAGACCGGACTCAAATTTCGAGCATGTCCACAGTTTATCAATGAAACAGAATCAACACTTTACAGACCCTTGAACAAGAGAAACTATAACATAAAATGGAGATTTTAGCTCTTGATTTAAGTCTGTTTCCACATCCCTCCCTCTGTCATTAGAGATAACTACTCAGGGAAGTACCTGACAACTTATCTTAAATCTTAGCTTATGGTGTAAATTTTCCAAATACCTGGTGAAGGCGTTTGTGTACAGCTTGCTTGTGCATTAGATCTTGTACCATGTACTTCATGTCCATAAGATGTCACACACCAACACTGTCCATCATGGCACTGCCTTGGAATATACTGGCCATCTTTGTCGCATTTTGGTATAAAGTGCCCTGGCCAGGGTAGTGAACGGTACCTTTCTTTCTGGCATTCAGTGAGTTGGTCTGAGAATATAAAGTATAGAAATTCTAAGAGATGGGCTTATGTGCATTGGAACTGTTACATTCAGCCATTCAATTCATTCATTTTTGCACTCTCTTATCATTCTTAAATTGTTTCATACAATCATTCATTTTTCCATTCATCCAGTTTTCCACTATTCCATTACTTAAATTCTAACAAATAGCAGCTATTTAGAGACAATTTGTCAGCATCAATAAACCAGAACGCAATCAAGATGAATTAAAAATGATCTCAAGTGGATTCATATACATTATGTTGTATCATCTACATTGCTACCGACAAATTGTCTCTAAATTGCCACTATTTGTTAGTATTTACTTTTTATTTCATGATTTTCCTGCATTTGCTCAATTGCTCAATTCTAGATATAGTAACTGTACATACCTGGATGTGTGCAATGTGCCTTTTCTCTTCCCTTAACCTGTGTCCTTGGTATTTCTTTTCCATCATTGTCTACACACCAGCAATACCCAGAATATGATTCACACTGCTGTGGAAGGTACCATCCCTCGCTGTCACATTTAGGAACGACACGACCAGGTAATCCTTTTCCTGTCCATGACAAAGTGAGGAACCGTTCTTTCTGGCATGGTGTAAGTCCATCTGTGTATTGGATACATAGTTTGTTATTCATAAAATAAACAGTAACTTTTGGACTGCAAGGAATTAAAACCAAAGCTTATTGGCAGTGACGTCAAAAGTCAATGAAACCAAGGCTATCAAAGGGAGTGAGCATCTTGAAATGCTTATGTCTTAGTAAGTTTGATATTTTCTTTTCAGATAAATTAAAATAAAAGGCGAAGTGCAAAATTAAATAGGTGTTAGATTATGCTAATTATTGAGATTTTGGTAATATTTGTTTYACGGTTTTTGTGTGTACACTCAATAGTAAATTAGTCGTGAAAAAATGTTATAGGATTCGCATGTGCCAGAATTAGAAAATAAATTAAAACAGCTAGACGTTTGCCTTTTAAGAACATCGCAAAATTGTCAACTCGCAGAGCACGTACACAATTTTACTACGATTCGGAAACTTACCAGTTTCATGGCATCGTGGAACTCCTTTGACTTTAGTTCTTGGTAATTCATTGCCGTATCGATCTACACACCAGCAGTATCCCTGTTTGTTGCACTGTACTTTCCTATAGCCGCCATAAGCGTTGCACAACGGAACGAAGCGACGACTTGACTTTGCTTCTTCGCTTTCTTTCTGACATGTCGTCGTTTTACCTGGGTAAAGTTGTTTATATTTAGTTAGTTTTGACAACAGTCTAAAACGAAAGCGTAGAAAACACAGTTCTAAAATTCTATAAATGTTGTTTTTGGACTGTTTTGCGCATTCAATTTGTAAATTACAGCTGTAATTTCACGACATATCGGACTTCTGGTTGCAAATTTACGAGTAAAATTTGGCTTACCTTCGATTTGTTTTGAAATCGCCTGAGTCGAAAACCATTATATAATAGAGTTGATAAGCAAATAATTACATGTAATTCTTGTCCGGTCTTTATAATTTTAGTATAAATTCAGCCAATGTATTTGTTTTTTTCCTTCGAGAGCTCGACACACCGCGTGGGTTTTAAATTATAAGTAATCTATTTTCAAAGAACTCTCGCCTGTGATTGGTCGATTGAGTGATTTGAATAAAAGGCGCGAATAAGGCGGGAAGTTTCGCGGTCGCGTGGAAAGCCAAGGTTGAGTAAATTAATGAAATCAAACAGTTTTTACTATGAAATTGGATTCGTTATTTATATATAAAAATTAATCTATTTTTAAGTCAGAAAATGTCTAAATAATTAACTATCAATAACAGTTATTTTGTAAAATAATCAGGATTAATTTGAATGTCACCACGATTCCAGAAGCAATATATATTTTTTAATGCCACAAAAAAATCTTCTATAGTTAAAAAGAAAATACCGATCAACTTTAAATGAATTTACTAGCAGAGGACAGAGACATCGGCACGCGCGACTATTCCACTCTCAATTACCTGCTTTGCTGCAGTCTGGTTTTGCTCGCTTTCTTGTTCCCCAAAGTTCATTTCCCATTTTATCGACACACCAACAATAGCCAGTTGAGGGATCACACTGAACAGGCTCAAAGCTACCGTCAGGTTTGCAACGTGGTGTAAACTGGCTGATTTTGTTGGCAACGTACCAAGCAAGGGCGTAGCTTTGATCTTCCAAGCATGGAGAAACACCACCTAAAGAAATGATAGAATCATGGGTTGTTTATTTTGAATTCAGTTTGAACGCAACAAAAAATTGCTAAACAGACATTTCCGCAAAAATGTTGATAAGATTTCAAACCTTTATCTAATTTTTAATTTACCTTTTTTCAATCTATATTTGGTTATTTCAATTTCACATTTTCAGCTATCTAAATTTACCTCTGAAATTTTCACAATTTCTCTTTCCCTTTACTCTGGTTCCCAGTAGTTCGCGGCCATATCTGTCGACGCACCAGCATTGACCAGATGAATGACACTGGACACCTTCGTAAGAACCATCGGGTGCGCACTCAGCGATCCAGAATTGACTGACCTTGAGGCCAGTCCATCCTAAGGCACGGTGGCGCTCTCTTTGGCAGTTTGTATTGTAGCCTAAGACGGAAAAAACAATATGAAGCGATATGAAATTAGAGCGATAGTAATTTGAATGCTCGTAGCGCGTCATCCTTATCGTGCTTACTCATTACATGGGAAAAAAGAAATAATTAAGTTTAATTGTATGTGGACAAAATGTTTCTAAAATTTAAGCAACAAGATTAAGAAATTGCAGAAAATTGCGCCAGTTACTTGATTTTCTCACCATCTTTTAGCTTAGCTCAATAACATAGTGATTCTCGATCATATGAGGAGAGTAGCCACAAAAACTTATAGAATAGAATTAGTGGAAAAATTAAGAAAGTTTTCAATATATCGTACCTGTTTTTCGACAGATAGGTCGACGTCCTCTCGTTCTTGTTCCACGGATTTCCTGGTTGTCTTTATCGACGCACCAACACGTTTGAGACAAACACTGAACGGTATTATATCCGCCCTTGTCGTCACATGTTGGTACAAAGTTGAATGATGACTGCTTATTGTTTGCTGCGTAAGAGTTGTAGCGCTGCTTTTGACATGGTGTCAGACCAGCTGTTGATACAAACAGAATGACACAGTGTTTTCTAGTTTAACAGTCTATCAATCATGCTTATTTCCACAATCAACATTAGATTTAGTGTAAGACGCATTGAAACAAAGCAGGCCATGATATCTAGTTGATAACAGATGGAATTCAAGAAAATAAAAGCAAAAAGTCCTTTAGAAGACTCACTCCAAAATCACGTTTACACCTGTGTCTTTTATTAATGATTTCCTTCATAAAAAGTTCTTCTCACTTTCTCACATTACATGTAATTACATCAATCCATCCCATCCATCCATCCATCCATCCATCCATCCATCCATCCATCCATCCATCCATCCATTTATTTCTTACCAGTGTTATCACAAGCGGGTCTTCCACCACGTTGCCTAGTTCCAGGCCATTCTCGACCGTAACGGTTCACACACCAGCAAAATCCTGAGCTCGAATGACACTGTATTCGTGTGTACCCCCCTTGATCGTCACATGTTGGAATGTAGAGTCCAGTACGTTGATGACCGGCTGCTTTCAAAGCCACGTTTCTCTGATGCAAACAAACTGTGGCCTTGGGGTCTGTAAAGAGAAAGTAGAACTTACGGCGAGCCTTGGAAAAAGTTGGGAAATAAATTGGGAACAATTTGGAAAATCTTGAGCTGTATTCTTAGAAATGTTTACAGAAAAGTTATTAATACTTTAGATTAGAAAACTTGGACATATTAGGACCCTTGAGGAGAGAATGTTTAAATCCTTAGTAAGTTTAGGTACATCCGTTACCATTGCTGAATAGAGATCTAGCAACTTCCTCACGTATGGACTATCATGATCAGCCTACCTTCTGGTGGACATGTTGCACTTCCACGGACCTTCGTTCCATGAAGAATGTTACCATTGCTATCAACACACCAGCAGACGCCATACTTGGGAAAGCACTGCTGCAGAAAGTAACTGCCGTCGTCTTCACAATTTGGTACAAAGTGTCCACTCATTCCTTCTGCCATCGCTCGCTGACGTTCTTGTTGACATTGGGTGATGGACGCTACTACAAGGAAAATAAACAAAAGCAATGATTATTTTTTTAACTCTTGAGCATAATCAAATCAGGTCCACAGGAAAGATTCTTACTTTGTTGTCTATCGCAGTGCTTAGGCCTTCCTTTCATACGACTGTCGTCAATCTCTTTACCAAACTGGTCAACGCACCAGCACTGTCCATTCTGTTTGTGACATTGGATAGGCTTGTAGTTTCCATTGTTGTCGCATTCAGGTATGTAGCCACCAACGACTGGAGATCCATCAAAACCCAATGCTGCTCGTTGTTCTTTTTGGCAAGGCGTTAGAACAGCTTTAAAAAAGGTTAAAGGTAGTCATTTACAAGAAATACCTTTAGTGTTCAAAGACGCAAATGACAGCCAATCACTAAGGCAGTTAATCATTGCAATAAATAATAATGATGGTGATTGTGATGATGGTGGTGGTGATGATGATGACATTTACCTGATGGTGAGAAGCAGCGCGGACGTCCTTTAGTTCTCGTTCCCAGTACTTCTACACCGTCCCGATTGACACACCAACAGTAGTTCTTCTTACTGCATTGTACTTCTTTATAGGAACCATCAGGCTTACAGCTTGGACTGAATCTGTTCCTGATGACTTGACCGGTGAAGCCTAACGCACGTCGTCGCTCCTTCATACAACGACTTAGACCAGCTTTAAAAAAAAGACAATTTTATGATTTAAAATGAATTTTTACACCTATTTTGTTTTGAGGAGCTTTGTGAGCTTTATATTCTAATTATCTACTACTCCTTGGTTCTTAAGCTTTGAATTAGCGTGGTGGACTAGTGCTATTGATATTTTCATCTAAATTGCGAGAGGAAATAGTATTCAATCTACCTGGCCGATCACACCACAGTTTTGTCCCTCGACTGCGAGTACCAGCCTCTTCAGATCCAAATCTATCGACACACCAACATTCTCCTATAGACGTCTGGCACTGCTTCTTTTTGTACGCTCCCTTTGCGCCACACTGTGGTACGAAAGCATCTGGCGAAACAATGTCTGATGGTCCTCGCGCTAATTCGCGTTCTTTTTGGCATTTGGTTGGACCACCTGAAATAATAAAACAGTACAAATTCAATGACATCTGTGATTTGGTAGCAAATTCCAATGAAGATTCCCGCCTCGTGGAGCGAAAGAACATATTACAGATGCTCTTGAGAAAGGTACATATAAAGCCTTGTTGTAATGTCTACTAGTCCCTATGTCTCATCGAAGTTAAAAGCAGCAGCACCAAATGCAAACTGGTGGAGAACCCTACGGTGGAGAAACTTACGTTTATCCTTGCAAACCGGTTGTTGATCTCTCACTTGTGTTCCGTATATTGGGTTACCATTAGCATCCACGCACCAGCAGTATCCAGTGGACATACTGCATTGAGTGGGTAAGAAACTGCCGTCCTCTTTACATATGGGTACGAACACTCCCGGAGGCACAGGAAACCCATTGATGCCTAAAATACGTTGACGTTCTCTGATGCATTTCGTAAAGTTTCCTAATTAAAAAGAAGTTATTAAAGTTTTCATTATATTCACAGGAAAATACATTCTGATGAAGTAAGCAGCCTAGTATTCTTTGAGTTCTCTTTATATCGAAAAGGATCTGTCCTTCCTTCTCATCCAGATTCTCCACTTCCCCTCAATTAGACTCCTTAGCATTTGTTTAGCCACGGAAAAATCATAAAGAAGTAAAGGGCCAGCGTTTAAACTTACTTGGAAGCTTTGTGCAGTCTGGTTTGACGTTGGCAGCAACTCTTGAAATAGGAAGTTCGTAACCATACTTATCGGAACACCAACACCCGTTGCCATGGCATTGTACTGAGTCATAAGCGCCGTTATATAAACATTTTGGTACAAACATTCCATTGCTCATGCCGGACCATCCTTGTGCTCGTTGTCTTTCGATTTGGCATGGCGATAGCATTGCTGTAAGATGTCAATAAAAACTGGTAACGTATGTGCTATAATCAATTCTCAAACGTGCCCCTAAGGCAAGAAGGTGAGGAGCAGGGAGCCTAAGATGGCCTCGATAAGGAAGATGGGAAGAGAGACGATGGAAGGGGATCAGGAAAAGTGCTAACATTAAAGTATTAAGGTTACACAAGACCGATATAGTTAACGATACAAAGTAAAAGTCACGGGGTGCAAAACGGATGATAAAGTTGATTGTGCAGTTAGGTTAGGATTCTAAGCGAGTCTCTCAATAAGAACGCCAAAACTCAGTCACTTACATCTTTTCCCACATACAGGTCTTCCTTTGATCCTTGTGTTGAGTATTTCGTAGCCACTGCTATCTACACACCAACAGAAAGAGTTCAAGCACTGAACGTTGTTGTAGCATCCATCGGCTTCACACTGTGGTACCATGCTACCAGGCGGTGCAACATCTGACCATCCAAGAAGTCTCTGACGTTCGAGCTGGCACTCAGTCAGACCGGCTAGAATAGGTCAAGTAGAATGCTTTACAAATTAGTTGTAATTAGTTGTAAAAATTGATCAAGATTCATTAAAAAGAAATGTCTTTGAGCAAAAGTGAAACTATCTTCAGACAATTGAAAGGAAAACCTTCCTTTGTGCATTTTTGCTGACAATCCAAAATTGGATATGCCAACAAGTTTCTGTTTATGCACATTCTGAAACTTTTTCTGTGACCGGTGAAATTCTAAGCGAGGTATTTATAAAATAAACTATGTTAATGTAAAATGAAATGAAAGTGGCATTGATGGTTATCATACATTGCGAGTCACATTGCGGTTTCTTGGGTCCTCGTAATCTGCTTCGTGGTATTTCTTTGCCATAACGATCAACACACCAGCAGAATTCAGGGTTTGTAGGACTGTTGCACTGCACTCTGTCAAATCGACCGGTTTTGTCACACGTTCTCTGCACAATAGCGCCAGCCTCCAGGACCTCTTCCTCTTCTTTTTGACAGACCGTTCTACCGACTGGAAAAACGATTAAGATTTCCGATAAGTAGCTTTCCATGCTAAGGCACAGCTATTTTATTTTTCAAGATGCCGCATGGAACCGTACCAAAACAAGAGTTTGAAGATTGTAGGGGTATAGAATGGTGTCTCAGAAATCGCAAGGCTCGCCAAAAATCAGTGCCAAAGTCTCGTAACCTCGGCGCCTAAAAGAAAGGGGCTCGGATCGATTTAAAATTGCTTTTGGCTCTGAAGCTCGCAATTGCCGAAATATCGGACTTGTTCAGCCAAARCCTCGGGCTCGAATTTTAAAACGTGGGGCTCGTAAGCTCGGCGAGGCTCGGATTTTACCATTCGATACCCCTGATATTGTCGGTACGAGATTTTTAGAAACATTTACATAAAACATCAATCACAGACTTACCACGTGATGAGCACGTAACCTGGCCAAAATCTCTAGTTCCTGCCAATTCGTTACCATTGACGTCAACACACCAGCACTGTCCAGGAGATTGGAGACACTGAACTGGCTCGAAACTCCCATCATCTTGACACCGTGGAACAAAAGCTCCAACCACGAGCTGTCCTGACCAAGCTAGAGCTTCCATTCGGTCTCGCTGACAGTCAGTAAGCGGAGCTGGGACAAAACAAAGCGTTTTTAAAGGCTATCTTAGTGGCCAACGAAACCGGCCAGACTGGGAAATCTCTTATGACCATTTCTCCAAAGATATTACAATTTGTTCAAATTCTCTATAATTGGTTGCGACACGAAGGTATAACAAATATTTAGATGGAGTATCTTTTCATAGTATCCCTGTTTAAAAGTTAGAAACTTTGGAAATATAACGATATATCCTATTTGTTCACCATTAATTAACTAACTCTATATCAGTCAAACTCGTATCAAAAGTTTATTCAAATAGTGGGAAATAAAGCCACACATTTTTCTTTGAAGTAAGGGTCTTTCTTAACAAACCTGTTTTCCCACATGTTGGTGCTCCTTGTTTGATGGTACCATGCTGTAAGAGACCGTTTTGATCCACACACCAGCATCTTCCTGATGCTACATGACACTGAATTGTACTGTAGCTTCCATCATGGTTGCACTTGGGAACATATGCGCCAGGAGGCGCAATGCCTGATGGTCCGAGGGCTTTTTGCCTAGCTTGGTGACATGGTGTCATTGCTGGTTGTATGCCGCTAGGCTTTCCCAAAGACTCTATTAAAGAAAAGCAATACAATAAGGAGGAGATCAATAATCCCATCTAAAACGGTTCGAAGGACAATATTAATCTAACAATGACGCAATAGTTTGACAATCAAACTGCTTTTTAGCTAAAATTTCGTTTATTTTGATCACTTACTGATCTCTTTGCACTTTGGCTGCCCAAATTCACGAGATCCATCGACTTCATTGCCATTCTCATCAACACACCAACATAATGAAGAAGAACCCTCGCACTGAACTGGATTGTACGATCCGTCTGGACGGCATTTGGGTACATAGTGTCCAGGAGGACTAACTCCAGTAAAACCACGGAACCTCATTGCATGTTGATGACATTTACTCGGCGAAGCTAATGTGAGAATGAATAGGTATTTAATACAACATCATGGGTAGAAGAAAAAGGATCTAAGAAAATCGAGAAAGACGGCCGTGTTGATGAAAAATAAGTTTAAAGCTGAAGATGTAACTACAGGAAATGAAGATATGACGCAGAGTAGAAAATAGTGTGAGAATAGTAGAAAGAGAAAATAGGGGTTAAGAACAAGAAGAACAAGAAGAACAAGAAGAACAAGAAGAACAAGAAGAACAAGAAGAACAAGAAGAACAAGAAGAACAAGAAGAACAAGAGGAACAAGAAGAACAAGAAGAACAAGAAGAACAAGAAGAACAAGAAGAACAAGAAGAACAAGAAGAACAAGAAGAACAAGAACAATAGTCCTCACTGATTTTATCGCAATCAGGTTTTCCTCTTCTAGTTGTCCATGTTTGTCCGTGTCCAAACTTGTCGGAGCACCAACAATAGCCATTTCTGTAGTCACACTGAACCTTTTGGAAATTCATTCCTTGGCATTGAGGAATAAAGACGGAAAAATATCCTACATCTTGGAGAACCATTGTCGGGCACGCAGGGTAAGAAACTGAAAAATAATCAATCCACATAACAATCCTCTTATATCGAAAAGATATACTTCAGGAATTTGTCCACTGTTGTTTCGACGACACACCACGAACTGACAAAACGTAAAATTTAGAACAAGATTTAGGATATTTGCGACAACAAAAACGTTTTGGAATATTTCAATTTATAGGAGTTTTCCCTGTCTTCTTTGCCTTTTTATTTATGGTATAAATATTACTAACCTAATTTCCCGTCAGGATCTCGTGGACACTTTATGACGCCTCCCTTCTGCCTCGTTCCAGGTCTCTCCTCTCCGCTATCATCAGCACACCAGCAGACTCCAGCATCCTGATCACATTGGTATGCTCTGTACTCCCCCCTGATGCAGACGGGATCTTTCCAGTCTTTGGGTGATTTAAAGGTGAGGTCACGAAGAGTTTCCTCGCAATGTGTCAGAGGTTTTTCTGAATAACAAAGGTATGATATTGGAAAGTTACATCGAAAAGGTTTGTTGTAATAAGGTATGAGCCTGGACCGAAAAGCATGCATAGTGAATAGTCTTCTTCACAGTTCCCTACTGCGCCATCTTGAAAGGCACGGCTACCTTTCAAGATGCCGCACGTAACCGTGAAGGAGACTATTATGACAATGCTTATCATAACCCGCCTCACTAGGACGTTTGGAACAAAAAACATTGATGCGGAAGCCACATGTTGCTGTTTGATTGATGTTGTTAGATATCAATTGGCATCATGTACATAAAATGAAACCTCATTAATCAGACCACCGAAGGAACATCGAAAAGTGGCCGTATATATGAAAATTTAATCCGACGGGAAATAACGAGGTGGTCGTTTCTAGCAGGATGCCAAATATATTTACATAGTGTGATGTAATGTTACTATTTTTACCCCTGTTCTGACACATTCCATCAAATGCGTTAGGCCATTCAGTTTGTAACGTTTTGGTTCCTCGTATTTCAAATCCATTATCATCCACACAGAAGCAGTAAGGACCATGGCATTGCACAGGACTGTAGTCCCCATTGTCTTGGCAACGAGGAACGTATCGCCCTCTAGCAGGAGACTTCCAGTTTTCTTGGTAAATCCGTTGACAGGGTTTTAGACGTGCTCCTGGTGAAACGAATGAAATTTAAAAGTTTTTTCTTTATCGAAATGTCTTGTGTCCGCTGATTTTTTCATGTCATTTCGTTCAATGAACGGCAAATAGGAAGAAAAAATAGAAAAATCTGCTTACCTGGATTATCACATTTCGGTCTTCCAGCTGAAATAGGTAATTGGGATCCCTGTATCTCTTCTCCGTGTTTGTTGACACAATAGCAAACGGAACCTCGACACTGTACTTCGTCATAACCTCCGTTTGGAGTGCACTGGGGAATAAAGGCTCCTGGGGCTGCATTAGCTAAGGCAACCTGGGATTTGTGTTCACATACGGTTGGCTTCTCGTCTGAATATAAAACATATACAAAAGTTCAAGTCTATTAATGAAATGACAATTTTTTTCACTGGAAACGGCAACATAAGCGTATCTCTGAGTTTCCTTTGGATTTTCAATATCTCCTTACGCTTTCGCTTGTTTCACGTGTAAATTAAAAAAACATTACCGATGTCATCGCAATCAGGAGCATCAGGTAAAGTTGCTCTTGTTCCTTGAATCTCATGTCCATTTTTATTCACACAGTAACATGTCGCTGATTCACATTGGACCTTCTCGTAGCGACCATCTGGCGTGCACCGAGGAACGAAACGATCTGGGATCATTCTGTTATTCTCAGAGCGCTGGAATTCTCTTTGACAGTCAGTCAAAACATCTCCTGTTGGATACAAACACATACATTCATCTGACTTCTAGTTCCGCTTGAACTCCCGGATTTGCTGCATAGTAAGATGTAGGATAGAAAGAGAACTAGGAGAAGGTTTTTCATTTTTACTAGTTTGAATATTTCTGGTATCTGTCTTTCTATTTAAACTATATGCTCAAAAGAATATATTCAAGATGTAGGATATTGTGAAGAACATTGTAGCTATGATTTCTTCTTCATACTGGCCTTATATCGACAAAGGAAAGACTAACTAAATCTATATCACCTAACCAAACCCGTAGACTCGAAAACAGTGTATCTTAAGGTTTCACTACCTTGTGAAGAACACGTTACGAGCTCCTTGGAACGTGAACCCTCGATCTCTGCACCATTGATGTTAACACACCAACATTCTCCCCTCCATTCACTACACTGTACTTCCTCAAACGATCCGTCTTTCTTACATCGAGGTACAAAATCATTCTTTTTAAACTCTTTTTTCAGCGCTGCCTCGACTTGTATACGGCACTTGGTTCTTTCTTCAGCACCTGAACAAGAAGTATCAATTGAATTTATAGTTAAAGCAAGTTTGATGGTAAGATTAGAATATTGATATCAGAACACGACTATAGCAGTTGACCTTATTTTGGTTGTTTTCCTTGAGACAGTGTATGCAAAGGAAGTAGGCTTTTATTTAAAAAAAGAAGCAAACAATTCCTTACTTGGAAATACAGGGGTAGGAGTGACAGGTACCACAACACCAGGAGTTTTGACAGACTTCACAATTTCTTCTTCAACTTCTGTCCAGTTTTCCTCTGGATATATTTTGCTTGGAGCAGCAATCTCTTTAGCTGCTTCTTCATCGTATGCCCCAATCCCCACAACGTAAATCTTGACACCTTTGTTCTTGAGGCTCTGAGCAGCTTGTTTAATGGTTTCTTTATCATCGGATGGCTTTTTGCCAATGAATACGACCAAAGCCTTCAACAAATGATAAAAGGAAAGTTATCAAATGGCGTTATCATCATATCAATTCAACGATGCGACGAAGCGAAAGGTTTGAAACTGATACAGAACACAACAAAACACAAAACTGATAAATAACTAAAGAGGGAAACAAAAGGGAAAGAACTGAAAAATGGAAAACAAAACAAAAATATTTACAAAAGCGAGACGGAGGACTGAAACTGAAAATTATGAAGCGGCATGAACAGGCAAAAATACAAAACTATAACAAAAGAAAGACTTGAACAACCACACGAAACCGATTCAATTGGAATTAAGGAGCTAAAGAGCAAAATTCATAAATACCTTAACAGTGTTTTTGTCGTCTCTTTGTCCTCCAGCTTTGCTAAATATCTCACGTTCAACAGCCTGTAATCCTAAACCAGGATTCTTCACGGGAGTGCCAGGTTGCGCAAGTTTAATTTTGTTCAATAAATTAATAACATTTGGTACTGTTCTTTGGAATCCGGTGAGTGGGTTACTAAACGTGAAGAATACTTTTGGCGGACTGATGTATGTTGCTGCGGCAACATGGACTTTCCCTTCACCAACATTCAACCGTCCAACCAAATCTTTAGCGAAATTTGTCATATTTTTGAAGGTAGGGCTTGTAATGCTATCAGAATTGTCGAATAGAAAAGCCAGGTCAAGTTTTTTCTCGACGATTGACGGAGCTGAAAACAAAGCCAAAAGTCGTTTTAAAATATATTTATCACCACCCCTTCATTCGAAAATAATTACCTTGTGTGCAATCAGGACGTCCTCTTTGTCTAGTTCCAGCTCTCTCGTGTCCATCTTCGTCCACACACCAGCAAAATCCAGTACTTCCCGAACACTGTATTGTCGAATAGCTTCCGTCTGGCGCACATTTTGGGACATAGGCACCAATAGGAGCTACACCAGTCAGCCCTAGAACCCTTTCTCTGTGTGCTACGCAAGGCATGTAAGGTTCTATGGAGCATAAAAGAGTCTTATGTCCTTTTAATTCTTAAAAAGTAAACTGGTAATGACATAAAAGGCACTACTCGACAACACTCTAAGCGTTGAATATTTATCCTGATAGGACGTACAAAACTGTGCGTTATTTGTGGATAATATAATAATAATGCGACAGAACACTGGCAAACTTTTAAAAGATCACTTACTCGGGTTTTGGCATATTGGTATTCCTCTTGTCATAGACCAAAGATGGGGCACACCGTTTTTATTAACACACCAGCAGTATCCACTCTTTGCGCAGCATTGAACGGGTCTATAGCTGCCATCAAAGTTACACATAGGTGAAGGGTGACTCCATAAGTTTAAGGCTGGGCCAAACCTATGCATAAACTGCTTCTCGCAAGGGCTGTGCTTATCTATGAACAATAAAAAGACCATAATCTTCAATGAGTGCATCAAACCCGTAAAAAGGGTTTTAAAATGCCTTTTCGAACCAATCAAAATCTCTCTTTTGCTTGATTGCTAAGCATCAATCAGTCCGTGTCTTACCATCTCGGGGACATCTTACAACACCAGTTGTTCGGGTCCCTGGTATCTCGATACCCTTATCGTCACCACACCAGCATTCATCTGTCTGTTTGTCACATTGTACAGGGCTGTACGACCCATCCGGTCGGCAGTGTGGGATTTTTACCTCATCTCTACTTAGCAAAGCCTTTCGTCTTTCTGTCTGACACATTGTTTCTGGTTTGTCTGAAGTAAAATGAATCAATATTAATGAATTTTCCAAAAATATCGATTTGAGCTCTTCGCTATAATAAACTTCGGTACCTATCGGAATACGCTTTTTTAAAGTAGCGATAAATACCTATGTTTTCGCATGTAACTTTCCCGTCTATCTGTGCATATACTTCAAGTCCTCGTCTTGCAATACCATTACGATCCACACAGAACATAATACCACTGTGTGACTGTACTGGTTTGAATTTGCCGTCCTCTGTACATCGAGGAACGTAGCGTGTTTGCTTGCTGTTTCTCCAGTTTTCTTGATATTGCCTCTCGCAGTTGGAGAGAACTGTTTTGCCTTCGTGAAAGAAAACATAGTTATATCCTTGTTCGGTTGCTTTCATTACTCAGTTTTGTTTCAATATAGTTTTAATTAGTCGTCATCGTCATCATTATCAAGTTTTTTTGTCTAGGTAATAAAATATGAATATGCCAGGCAGTCCTCATATTCATATCTTTACATTATTCTATTACCGCAACCTTACATCTATTTCACCCCGACCTGCTCCCAGTCTGGCCTTGTAGCTCAGCTGGTAGAGCTTCGGTAGTACAGCGAGGTCGGAAATTAATTTTTCCGAATTTATTCCTAAGGGACTTCTCCCGGAATTGCCTCCTTCTAAGCACTATAACTTTCTTTCATTTCTATATTGTAGGTAATAAAATGTTTACCTTGACAGAGGACGAATTCTTTGGAGCGGGTAGATGTGAGCTCCTTGCCTTGATCATCCACACACCAACACTCATGACTAGATGGATCACACTGGACTGGCTCATACGATCCGCATGGAAGACATTTCGGCACGTGACCCATTCCAGACACAATGTTACGCTGAACTTGCTTGAGACAAGGTCCAAGCTTAGAATCTAAATTTTAATGAGATTCATCAATAAATGAATGAGTAAAGTAATAAAGGCATTTTAGAAGGAAGGAATTGCTTTCTTTACCAAATGATTTGCAGTCAGGCTGCCCTTTCCCTATAGCCACTCTAGTATTTGTTAGTTCTCTGCCTTTTCTATCCACGCAGAAACAGTACGAGTTGTGACACTGAACCTCGTTATAATGCCCATCCTCTTTGCATTTAGGAACGAATGATCTTGGACCGTTTCTCAGTGCATTGAATCTTTGCAAATTGCATTCTGTTCGCCCTAAGGAGAAATAAAGAGAATAAGGAGATACAGTCAACTCTCGCCTTACGGATACCCCGCTACAACGGACACCTCGTTATTGCGGACAAATGCAAAGAAATGACTTAAAGTAACTCTCGTTACTATGGACTCTCGCTACTGCGGACGCCAAATAACGGTCCCGAGGGTGTCCGTAATAGCGAGAGTTGACTGTAACACTAACGGAGTACAATAGAAATATAGAAAACCTTCGTTACGTACACATCTGTGGTATCATTAAACAACCCTTTATTCAGCGGTCACCTTCCATAAAGCAGTTACTTATGAGTTTCCCAATCGTTGATTCTGATCTTCTTTTGTCTTTTTTAATTCATTCCTTTTTACTAAATACTAATGTCCTATTTTCTATGACAATGTTTTCGCAAGTAGGTGTATATCTAATTACATATCTTTCTTACCTTGCGGCTCGCACGTGACTTTCCCCCTTGAAACATCAACATATTTCCCAACGTAAACACCTTGTTTGTTGACACAGTAGCAGTAATCTTTATAACATTGTCGAGGTAGATAGACACCATTTCCATCACACCAAGGAACATGCCGTGTGTCTAGTAACCAGTTCCTGGTCTTTTCCTGGTAATCCAGTCGACAGTGACTAACACGCTTTTCTGTGTCAGGAACAAACAAAGGGACCTTTTGTTAGAGGGTCTTTCTGAATAACATAGAGGTTGTCCATCGGAGAGCGGCCAAAAACGACCAGGAGGTCCAAGGTTTTGCTTAAGGTATACACCAATTTAAGGTTAATACAATCAATAACTCACCAATACGTGGACACGATATTGCACCATTCATTCGTGTTCCTGGAATCTCATTACCATTAGGATCAACACACCAGCACTGTTTGGACGATGAATCACACTGAACCTCTTCGTAATGTCCAGAGGGTTTGCACTTAGGGACATGCGCACCTCGCTGGATGGATCCACTGGTTTCCTGGTTGTCCTTTTGACACGTTTGAATTCGTTTTTCTTTAAAGAAGAGAAAAAGCCGTGAAACATGAATTATACATATAAACATAAACTCTTTAGTGTGGTTTCCTAAACCCGTGAAACAGAATTCAATAGTGAACGTCTGATAATGTGTGCTACATCGAAACGATAAATAAACGTACAAAATATAAAGCATAATATTGCTGTACGCTAAAGCGTATTTCACAGTTCAACATATATGATTATTCAACCAACCATTCTTAATAACGTAACTTGTGACACACGATTGTACCTTGTTTGATGGCATGCGCAAGTCTCGGTACCAGGTCTCCAAGGTCATCATAATACGGAATGCTGAAGAATCGACTTTCATCTTTGATTAACTTGAAGTGAAGAGTTGGATCTACTGACCCTACCCCTACTGAGTACAAATTAACTCCGCTTTTCCTAAGGCTTCTTAAGGCCGTTTGTAGACTTTGGGGTTGATATGTCCATGGACCGCTTGAAATAACAATGAGAATCTAAAAAAAACATGATATCTATTTCAATGTTGTGTTTCTTTATCAGTCAGTACAACAAGCCACTGCGGTCCTTATGACGCCATGTGTGTTTGTCGAAGTGCATCATGGTATTGAAAAAAGTATCAAGATGGTGGGCATTGGAGAAGAAAGTATTCATGTAAAAACAAAGTTTTTGAATAAATTTTAAAATTATCGAGGACAGTTTTCGAAAGAGCTTTCGATAATGTAGCTGTACACTATAAAGCAGACTGAAAGACAAGTAAAATATTTACTTTAAACTTGTCGTTCGCAAATCAGCCCGATATACAGTTTGTATTACCAGTAATCCCATAATGCATTTTCTGGACATCTCATGACGTCATCAGTGGAAAGTGTCATTAGTTGACCAATCAAAGATCTCCTTATATTTCTTCTACAGTACAGTATTTACCTGTCTTGCACCAGTTCTGACTCCCCCTGATAAACTGAACAGATCCCTGTCCGCCATTACCAATGCTGAATCAATCGCTCTAGTGGCACCAACTTGTCGGGTCACCCTGTCGATAAGGCCGTTTATGCCTTCACGAGTGTAAGCGCTGCCATTGAGGGCGTTGAAGGCAAATCCCATCGATGGGGAGGTGCTGTATGACATGAATCCAACGTGAGTACCATCGTAGTGGATGTAGAATCGTTTTAGTAGGCTTTTCACGAAGTCGATTGATCTTGCCCAGTTTGCTGAGTTGGAGGAGTCAACGAGAAATGCGACGTCCATTAAAGGAATAAGTCCTAGTGTGGGATATAAATTTTAAATCATATTAATGCCATTATTTTTTTATACTTATTTGATAATTAATATTATTTGGAGGAGTCAACGAGAAAGGCGACGTCCTTCAAAGGGAGAAGTCCTAGTGTGGGATATTAATTTTAAATCATATAAATGCCATTATTTTTTTATACTTATTTGATAATAAATAGTAGTTAATAACAATAACTAATATTAAACGGAAATTCATAAAAGTCGCTATTAAAAATGAGTTTTCATGGTTTTAGAATGACTATGCCGGCTTCGTACAGTCGGAAGGCAATCAAGCTTAGAATATTCAACTCCTGCGCGATATTCATGCCTTTGCATCGAAGCTACAATGATTATTGAGCGTGCAATGATAGATGCATGTGAATAATTGTCTGTAGGTGTGAAAGGCTTCTATCATTGCTCCCTCAATGTTCATCTTGCTTTGATCCAAAGGCACCGCTGCTTTACCATGAGGAGACTTTTGTCCTTTTGCAATGGAGCTGACAAGAAGTTTAATAACAGCAACGATTGCGGTCTCGGAATGCACTATGGAGCGTCATTCAATTCGCAATGTTAACTAAAATACTATATACTTACCCTGCCTTATCAAGTTAATGTAGTAAGGTGCCTGTGCTTCAAGTCTGCTTATTGTAGTTTCTCTAGTGTATTCAGGGCGTGAAGCGACTTGTCGTAGATCTCTTGTCATACCCGTCATACCAATAGAATACAGGCTTATTCCACGCCTCTCTAGCCGGGCTGTAATGTCATTTAATGGAATCGAGCCTACGTTATTATTGCCAATAAGAATGGTCAGAATCACCTGAAAAGAATTCAAAATTATTACAGATTCAATATACATCCGTTATCTCATTGAAAAATAAAAAATAAAAAAAAAGATTAAACGTTGTAGGTTGAAAGCCAATTGCTCCTTTTCTAAGGTTCTGTACTTTGTCATCTCTACGTTTTTACTGAATTTGCCACACGATATAATCTAATAAAAAGGTGGAAATCTGAAGCTTTTACGTCATGTAGCGTGTACGCAATGCATTGTAGGATATGTTTGAGACAAAACATGGCCGATTTCTTTTGTTTTCTCTAGAAACTGATCCCACAATTCATTTAAGTTGGGACGTTAAATGTTCAGAAGTCTATTATGATATACTCTGGTAATACCTTTCTGGCATTGGCTCGCATTCCATTAAATTCTTGAAACACTGAAGTATCAGCATGCCTTAATGCAGCGCCTAGATCTCTCGCCCCTGGGTCTTGCTTCAGCCATCCAATATATGTGTTAAGTTCGTGCTTTGTGTAGAGGGTAGGTGTGTTAAAGGTATAGCTAGTCTTGGGCGTGGTACTGAAGGGTACTAGCGCAACATGGGTGCCATGAAGGGAGACCTTGAAACCACTAACCACTGTCCTTATGAACTTGAGAACGATATGCCATTGATCGGTGGAGATCTGTCCAGAAGTGTCTACCAGGATGGCAAGGTCTAAAGGTCTTTTGTGAACTAAGATATGATAAAACAGTATTATATTCAGAAAGTCATTTCTACATTTTTCATCCTCCATTTTTTCTTGCAATGATTATTATAATCATCCTTTTTCATTAATGAAATAGTGAAAATAACATTCGTTGTGCCTCTATATATTTGAAGTAGAAATGTAAAAAAAAGTTGCCTTCATGGATGATTTTATGATAAAAAGAATTTCACATAGTTGCTTGGATATACAGATTTTATCTTCTCGTGTTAAAATTTTCTACGTTTATTATTGAGAGATCTTCTCAACACTCGAAAATAAAATCCTTGTGGTCTCCGAGAGCCCGTTAATCTCCTCTACATTTGTTTATAATATTGACATTTGTGCTATGAGCCCTCACCAACACTGTCGCAGTTTGGTTTTCCTTCTGTTATTTTCACTGATGTTCCACTAATTCTTCTGCCAGATGAGTCCACACAGAAACATTCAGATCCCAGACATTGTGTTGTCATGTATTGACCTTCTGGTGTACAGCGTGGGACATATGTCGACTGGTCTCGGTTTCTCATGGACTTTTGATAATGAAGTTGGCAGGCAGTTAGTGGAGAATCTGTGTATGAATGAGTTATAGCATTGGTTATCGATAGAATACATATGAACGGCAAGGGAATAGCTTATAAGGAAATCAAAGTTGAGTAAGAAAGGGCCAAGAGTGTGTTGTATGAGTGTGGGATTAATGTGCTGTGGTGTTGTACGAACAATGAGATGGAGGAAGGGTGTATGATTGAGAGAAAAAGTGAAGGAAAGATAAAAATGAAAGCAAAGAAAGGGACGACTTAAGGGATAAAGGCGGGGGAATAGATAGAAATAGGGAGAAGTGAATGTAAAGAAAAGAAGAGGATGACGAAAGGTAAATAAAAATACAAGCGATTCCAGTGAAGAAGAAAGGTAGGTAAAGGAAGCGAGACTTGAACAAAATAATTCTCAAAAATATGATATATTACCACTTGGAGCGCAGCGAATGTAAGATTTTCCACCGTTTCTATTTCCTACTTTAGTTCCCATGATTTCTTTGCCTTTGCTGTCGACACACCAGCAGTGTTTTGTGACTGGATTACATTGAATTTCCTCGTACGACCCGTCTTGTTTGCAGTTTGGTACGTATGACCCTACCCCTGACAGTCGACGTTTTTGACATTCTGTGAGTGTTGGCCCTTATAAGGAATCACAATGAATTACTTTAATAAACAGAACATTAATAGCAGATATAAAATATGTGGCCCACATTTCTATTCGTACGTCACCCTTATTCCCAATTTTTAATGTTTTTCGCACATGAATTGAACTTCGACTTGCTTTTCATACAGGAGTCAAAAACTTGATTTTCACATCAATTCAGTTTTTTTTTTAAATAAAAGTGATATAAAATAAAAGTGACGTAGCAATAAACATTTTACCCATATTGCTATTCGTACGTCACCTGAATTCAAACTTATAATTTCGATTATTTATAGGTTACTCGTGTTCTGACTCCTTGCCTTTGCTGTTCGTTTCTAGAGTTGAAATTTATTTTGATTTTCAAATCGATTTATTCTTGCTTTTTTTCAATTAAAGCCATAAGTTGACGTACGAATAAGTGTGTAAAGCCATAAGTTGACGTACAATATGTAAGTCAACCACCGTACTCTGACTCCGTGCACGGAGTTTTCCACTGATTTAAAAAAAAAACCGACATCATATAACATGATGTACTGGCCCACCTACAAGATTTTTATATCACATATCATATATATATGTTACAAGTTACAAGTTGCGTGCTTTTTTCTTCATTTATTCTATTTATATATATGAGATATATACAGTCATACTTACGGTCTGGGGATGTCCCTGTTGCACATCGTCCCTCGCACGATTCTCCGGGCCTCAAATGCAGGCAGTGTGGGGTACCATATCTAACGTTCAGACGCGTTCCTGGCGTTTCTACACCGGCTTTGTTAACACAGTAACAGAATTGCCCCATGCATTGCATGATTTCATGGCTTCCATCTCGTCGACAGCGGGGGATATAGGCTCCTGGAGTATATTCTTGAATTGCTTTCAGGTAGGACTTATAGCAGTTGTAGTCTATGGAAAGAAACAATAGATTGATAGCCAAAGTAGCTTAACTTTCAGAAACAATTAGAACGCGTAAAGCATTTACATTCCTCATTTATTTAGATCCGAAGTTTTCTGTTTGAATTTGAAAATGTGAATTTTTGTTGTGAAATGATAAGTGCACAAAAAAAGGGAAGAGCTCGAACTGTCGTTCTGAAAATATTCTATGTGAGTTGGCAATTAATTGTTCGTTTCTTAATTGAGCTTTCGAACTGACCTTGAAGTCTATTTTTAACAAGATCAAAAGACCACGAGGAAAACGACTAAAAAGACTAAAACGACGCCAAAACGCAGTACGAAAACTGAACAAATTGAGCTCAAAAGCTCAATTAAGAAACGAACAAACCCCACAATGGATGCACTGAAAGATTTTGTACAAAAGCTGTCCGGAAAAATAACAGTAATTTTTTATTGTTTGACTTGAATCAGCGTACCTTGCGATATTAGGTTAAATAATGCCGGGAAGGGCTCATCTTTGCCTGGTATGACCTCCATACCCACAAGATTTACGCCAGCATTCGTTAGCTGTGTTCTCAATCTGGTTACTGCGGCTGCAATTTGAGGAGTAGCGATAGGGTCCTGAATGTAGTATACCAATATCTGAAAGACAAGAAATAATCATAATTAAATAACATAAAACACAAAGAAATGCGGTGTAATCAGAAGATATATGGGATCACGGGCCCGCATTTTGTGTGTGTGTGGTTTTTGAGGGGGGAGGGGAGGGAAGAGGGCGTCGACCAATCGACAGGTACAAATAAGGATCCAAACTGATAGTTTTCGCTTTAAAAAGACATGGCCCTCCAGCATTCAATGTGATCGTATATTAGTATTTTGTATATGTGGAAAATATGTGGACTTCAAATATTCATTTGCAAACATCATTCATTGTCGAATATTTCCATTCTTGGTCCATTCTTGGAGAATAAAGAATCAATAAAAAGTTAGTTTTTGCTTACATTACCATTTTTTTTTCACAAACAGAAACAAAAGCTAAAAAAGGATGCCAGAGAACCATGGCCCTTTAAATTCCCAAAAATCTTTTTAATATCATAATGCTTTAAGCTATTGACATTTTGACACGCTTTGTCACGGTCAATTGCAAAAGAGAACCCCTCTAAGTTATAATTAGTTTTAAAGCCAATGCTGATAAAATCGTAATTGCGGGTCACGGCATCATTTATCACAACCCAGAGGTCAATAAGCGTCAAGTAACGATGAAGCAGTAATCAAAATTCCACAATTATAATATGATATTTATAGATAAAAGGTGCATAGTTCAGCCTAGGGTGCCTTTTATCTACTTAAGTATTTATTTTCCAATGCCAGTGACTAACAGTAACCACATGGTCGGTATGTTGAGGTTTGATTCATTAGTAGAGGAAATTTCACGGTTCGAGATGAATTAATGAAAAATACCGCGCGAATATGATGAAATATTGCTTAGAAATACGAAAATTGTACGACTGGTATTAATCGATTTTCATTGAATACAAGCAATTTCTTTTATCAGTTTTTCGAGAAGACGAAAGCTCATATTAACATCTCATCTTCAGAAAATACGAGAGTTTGCTAACGTGATAGTACACAGACGCAATGCACGACGGGATATATCACATGCGATTAAAGGAAATTATTAGCCAATCAAAAACGAGCATTTCATGTAATTGATTAATTAATTAATAAAAAAAATTAGTTTATTATTCAATGATTAATAATTAAAGTGACTCCTACAACATTAAAAAAGCGATTTAATTTGTACGCTCACCTTTTTTGAGTTCTTCCTCATTCCCCCCTGTGATGTAAACAAAGTCCGGTAAGCCAAGTCCAACGCGAGGTCCACTCTTCGTCCTGATCCTCCAAGTGTCCCAACACCATCAATCAAGCTGTTGACAGCACTTTGCGTGTATCCTGAGCCGCTTAATGCATTGAACTTAAATGCTAGGTCAGCGGTGTCTGCATAAGAGATAAACCCAAAATGGGCGCCATGCGCAGAAACTTTCATCCTTCGGACAACCGATTTGGCAAAGTCTGAATTTTCGGGGTGCAACGCGGAGTCCATTACGAAAGCGAGGTCGATAGCAGGGCCGCTCGAACCTGCAAGAAATGAAAAACATGAGCCTTTTGGGAGCCATTACAATTAACCCGTGGGAGAGTTAGTGGACTAGTAGCTGCTGTTATTTTGATTGATTCCTTTCTTTCAAGAGTTATTATAGCAGTTGTTAGTAATGTCCGACAATGAGGACTGGACGGGATTTCAAGTACGCGTAATTAGTTCCAGTCCGGGGCGTAACTGAAGAAGTAACTGGAAATAAGGTAGAAGTAACTGGACGTAAGGTAGAAGTAACTGGAAATAAGGTAGAAGTAACTGGAAATAAGGTAGAAGTAACTGGAAATAAGGTAGAAGTAACTGGAAATAAGGTAGAAGTAACTGGAAATAAGGTAGAAGTAACTGGAAATAAGGTAGAAGTAACTGGAAATAAAGTAGAAGTAACTGGACGGGCAAGGAAGGAGTACTGTCTCTGGGTTCCAGTCACAATCAGAGATTGCCTGGATACCTCATGAATAATTAATGAGTATGAAAACGAGAGTTGAATGTATGACATTCACGTACCAATATTTGCACATTTAATGTCTTTGCTGTGTGTTCTTGTGTTTGAGATTTCATCTCCGTTGGGTGATACACACCAGCACTGTTTGCCATTCGTGTCGCATTGTATTGGTTCATAGGCTCCATTACGAGTACAGCGAGGGACTGGAAGCCTTGGATTGTTGACAGCCGCCAAGAAACGCAGTTGACACTTGGTTAGACTGCCTTCTGCAGAAAATCGATGAACAATAATTTTTTTAGACTCAAAATGAATTCTATGATACAGTGAACAATGCTGATTTTAAAACTTGCATTCGTATCCAATCTTGTACTCCCTTTCAAAGATTTTGAGTTAGTAGTAAGCAAACTTCCAAATAAGGAATCATGCAATCAATTAACCAACAAGTCAATAATAACTAATCAAGAACAAGCATGACCAGACGCTCTTAGAGCGTTTACACGCGTTCAAGCGAAAGAGTTAATCGATCTTTATATGTTCCACAATTTTATGAAATTCCATATCTTTGATTAAATTGTTTTCATACGAACTTAACTCAAAGTATAAAATATTTATGTCTCATCGGAGACGATCTGTAGCTAAGTAAAAAGAATTTTATATTAAAACGTTACGGCTCGGATATAAAGCTTGACATCGACTTAGAAGGTAGAGAGAGAGCAGAGACATCGACTCGCAACCTAATACGTTATTGCATACAAACCTTTGAGGGTACATTTCGGTCTTCCTGTGTACACATAAGTCCTGGTTCCCTTGCGTTCCTGTCCTTCTTGATTGACACAGTAACAGTATGACCCATGGCATTGTAGTGGACTGAATTGACCATTACCTTGACAACGTGGTACGAATCTCCCAGGTACGTATTTGCGCATTGCATCCTGGTATTGTTGCCAACATTTTGGGACTATACCACCTTTAAGATAAGATAATATTAAGTGACAACAACATAGGGGTAGTATTAGTAAACTAGTATGAGCTTCGAAGTTAAAAAATATAGAAAATGTGTTTTTGTATAATAAAAATGTACAAAAAACAACAACAACAAAACCAACTACAACTGGTGGGAACTAGCAGTAAATTAGTGTGAGCTGCTTCGGTGTTTCTAAAGAAACAGTTGTGTAAAAAGATAAATTTAACACCGTAAAAAAGTAGGTGAAACAACTTATATACTGGCGTTTCAGGCGTTAATCCTTCGTCCTTGTCTTTACTCCGACGAAGGATTAACGTCCGAAACGTCAGTAAGTTATCTCAGTCACCTACTTTTTTACGGTGTCAAATTAATCTTTTTACACAACTGTTTCTAAGGGCTACAACTATCTACTAAACTATCTTACCAAGCCTTGGACACTGCAACGTCTTTGTGGTTCTTGTCTGAGGTATTCCGTTTCCAAAACGATCCACGCACGAGCACTGCTCGCCGACACACTGGATGTTCTCAAAGCTACCATCATCTCGACACCTTGGAGCATAGAGATATGACCAGGGATTGGGTTGACTCATTATTCGTTGGTAGCGCTGCTGACAGGGTGTTAGCATTCCACCTGAAATAATTTAGCAATTAGGTTTGGTGCCTAAACCGATGAATGGATGGATGGATGAGAGATGGGAAAACGAATGGATTAATTAGAAAATGAAGTTAACGAATTGCGCACAGTTTTGAGTTGTAATGTCCCCTTATTGACATACTCTTGAAGTCATAAAATGTCCAAAACTCAAGTGGGCCCACGAGCGCAGCGAGTGTCTTCACTGCAAAGTTTTGAACATTTTCTGACGTCAAGTGTGTGTAAATAAGAGGGCATACAACGAAAAACCGTGTGCAATTTCATTTTTTACAACATTTTAGTCTGAAGCTATAAATCATTCTTTTCTTTCAATTGAGCGCACGAGACGTGATGTTATAAGCACAGTGTGCATGTCCTCTTATTGACACACTATAAATCAGCCAATCAGCGCGCGAAAAATTAAACAATTGTGTTAAAAAAAGAACTTGATAAATTGATGAACAAACTAATGGATAATGAGACGATGAATTACAAGGTAGAAAGCCAGGAAGACCAAAAAATTAATAGATTAATAAGAAAAAACATTTTTAAAAAGAAAAWTTACCTTGCTCKGTGCATTTTGGTCTTCCAGCATCGTTATCAACTCTTGTCGCTGCTAGTTCGTTACCGTCGGCATCAACACAGAAACARTACGTACTGTGGCATTGTAGCCAGCGGTAGCTCCCATCAGCATTGCATGATGGGATGTAGTCTCCAGGTTCTGAGCTACGAAGTCTTTCCAAGTAACGTTTTATGCAAGACGTTGGTTTGGCATCTGAAAGAGGAGCGTTGGAGGGATATAGTTGCAGTAAACGTTGCAGGACGTGTTACACTGACATTGTGTCTTCTGCTTGTGACGCAGTAACAACAGCGGCAACAATGGTAACGGGAACGCAACGGCAACAGAAGCAGCATTAACAACAGCAGCAACAAAAACAACAAGCAACAACATCAAGAGCAAAAAAAAAGCAAAAACAAAAAATAACATTTCTAGCATCAACAACAAAAACACCGATAAACAAAAGCAACAACCGATGCTGTTCGACAGCCAATTGACATCGCTAACGAGAATGTTAAAGAAGATTGTGATAACGATAATAACGATGATTATAATAGGATATAATATTTACCCGGATGAGGGCAAGACAGASTCCKTCTTGTYCKTRTCCCAAGCACTTCTTGTCCTCTATCATCAACGCACCAACAGTATCCAGTCCTCCCTTCGCATTGGATTTCCTCATATCGCCCATCACTCTTGCATCTTGGKATATGAGCACCAAACACGTGATTATCGATAGCTTGTCTGTATGCAATTTGACATGGCGTTGCATTTGGAACTACCAATCAAAAACAACGATAAAAAATGTTAGAAAACATCTTGGATAATACTGACGCTGATTGGTTAATAGAGTCACGTGGGTTAAGATAGATAGATTGGTTAGCAAAAATATACTGCTTGGTAAAATAAAAAAATAACAAATTAAGCAATAAACATTCGTTATTTAACAAATGAATAAGGCTCAGTCGTGGTTTATACTCTGATAAACGCACGCTTGGTATTTGAAACACACGAGAAAATGTCAAGAAGAACGAGCTGAGCGCGCGTTAGAAATCATCTRTATAATAAATCCTTTATATATCATAAATTTGTTTAAATACCATATTGAAAGCTGGATCTGACCATAGATGTAAAAGATATTTATGATAAGTAAGATATTTGTAAGTATTTACCTGCAGAATCACACTGTGGCTCTCCTGCCTCAATACGTGTTCGCGTACCGTAGACCTCAACACCCTCGTTATCCACACAAAAACATTCTCGTTTATGGCACTGAATGGTTTCAAAACTGCCATCGCCTTTGCACTGTGGAATGTATACATCGTGTGCAGTATTTCTCTTGGCATTTTGATGTTGTGTTTGGCATTTGGTTGGCTCAGGAGCTAGAAATAGAGGAGGAAAGTTAGTGAAATTGTACGTTCTTTAGTCACAAAAATAGTTTTAGTCAGGAAGTAGTTTTACATTTTGTGTTTACTATGTTTTTTGAAAACCTTGAAGGATTTTCTAGTTCTAAACAAACAACACATACAATGCAGGAGCAAAATAAGTTTACTCAGTGATGACAGTGTTTACGAGTCTTTTTTTATTTTAACTAAAAATTGTAAAAAGGCTATAAGATGACACAACTAAAGGCTTAATATATTTCAAGCTTACCTTTGCAAATGTTTGCACGTAGTTTCGCTCTTATAGAAGGAAGATCATCAAATGATTTAACAACAATAGCATTTGATGGCTTGGAAGCCATTTGAATCAATTCTGCCGCGTTCACAGCTTGTCCTATTCCTACAACCCATATTTCAACACCTTTGTTTTTCAGCGGTTGCGATGCTTTGTCCAAAGGAGTCCATTTCCCTCGTTTTGTTTGGAAGCCATCGGTCAGAACAAATAAAACCTTTTATAAAGACAAACGAAAAAATTGTATTAGAAAAACTGCTAGCCGAGACATAGAAAACAACAAAATTGATAAATAATGTAGTTATTATAAAATAATATACTGAAAACTTCCACATTTTCTAGCAAACGAAGAAATCAAAATTTCACCCATTTCTTGGGCTCCAAGGAAAAAAAGGCCAGGCTGCTGTACACAACAGGAWTCCCGCGCGACCGATCATATTTGATATGTGTTAAATAAACTCGCTAAAGAGTTTTTCACACTAAGCCTCAGCAGGCTATCTATGAACCCAACAAGGAAATAGACCCAGATCCACTCGAGAAAAGAAAAAAAAAACGGAGAAAGGGGACTGAACGACCAAAACCTTAACACGCTTTTATATATAAAAAAAGATTCTTAAAGCATTTCTTACTTTTTTTGCTTCATCTCTCATCCCTGAAGCTTTGGTAAATATATCTGTGTTGGCTAATTTTAAAGCCTTGTCTATATACGTGAAACCTCTTCTATGATATATACTATCAATGGCTCTATTAATCCTCGCGTGGGTCAGCTCGTTTCCAGTAAAAGTATTGAATTTAAACTGAACAAATGGGATATTTGAGTATGAGATCACTGCCACGTGACTCCCTTGAGGCGATAGCTGGAGACTCCCGATGATGTTTTCAACGAATTCCAGCATCGAACGCCATTGGCTTCCTCGAATGCTTCCAGAAGAATCGATCAGGAACGCTAAATCCAAGACTGTTGTACATCGTTGTTCTGAATATATATATAAATTAATCGGTCAGTCAGTCACTCAAYGAGTCAAACAATGAATCAAACTTATATCAACCAACCAAGCAACCAAGCAATCAACCAACCAACTAACCAAGCAACCAGCCAACCAACCAATGCCAACTGATCAACCAACCAACAACCAATACCAACTGACCAAGCAATCAACCAACCAACCAGCCAATCAACCAAGCAACCAATCAACCAGCCAACCAATGCCAACTGATCAACCAACCAACCAACCAACCAACCAACCAACCAACCAACCAACCAACCAACCAACCAACCAACCAACCAACCAACCAACCAAACAACCAACCAAACAACCAAGCGACCAATCAACCAGTCAATACGTACTTCTTTCAGCAGGCCGAACGCATCTTTTTCCACATGGAGCCTGGCAACATTTCAAGTTCGATCTGCAGTCGTAATCATCAGCACAATCGTCTTGTCTTTGCAAATCTTCACAATCGCCGATATTACTTGATTTAGGACATGTCCCAGCTTTAACTGATCGTGAACAGAAATACATATAATATCAATCATACTTAAAACTATTGATAAACTTTTAATTCAACAAATATTGACAGTGAAAAATGCCTTCATATTTAAGATTTTGATTACTTTAGAAATTGTTTTGAATGTCCTTACGCGGTGCGCAAGCAATACGCCCGACGCACGATTAGTCGCGTATGAATGGTAGCGTTTTCTTGAGTAAGTCTGTACCTTGTTTTTGAGGTTGAACGCATTTTCGATAACATCCTTCTGAGCAGCATATTAAGCCCATTTGGCAATCKTGATCGCTTGAGCACTGATCAACAACATCTGGTGGACATTCACTTGGTTGGTTTATCGCTGGGCAGGAGGCGWCATTGACATCTGAAGTTCAGAAACATAGATCTTAAGCACAAGTACACATTGTGCATTTTTTGTTTATTTTTTGAAATCTCGCACGTTGGATCACATTATATACATATCGATCTATCGATTTATATAAATATTGATCCAATTGCCGGTAAAATCGTGTCACCATTCAAACAGTGATATCTTCACATGTGAAAGATATGATATCTTTTCATGGTTCATGATATTGCATTTTCACAACTAGAGAAAACCTGGTATCTCATCGATATGTATAAAATAAATAATATTTTTTGTTAATTAATGTTTGAAAAATAAATGAATTGAGATGCGCATGGTTTTTKCGTTGCTTGCTCTCTTTAATATACTTGACGCTCTTAACCTARCCCAAAACTTAGCATCGAAAATAAAAGAAAACACAACACAAAATTTATTGATTTATTAATATTTTATTATTAGACTTACCCGCCTCTTTGCACACCGATATACACTTTTCTACCGAAATGAAGTTATTTTCTTCCTCGACGTCTGCATCTTGGCAACCTTGATACACAAAATACTTGCATTTCCTCGTTGAATGTTCGTAGTACCATCTGACTTCAAAACTACGTTGTGCGCATGATCCCACTTCTCTTGGTTTCAAGCATCTTTGAGGTAGTGCTCCACTAGTTGGATTGGAGGTAGCAGTTGGAGTATAGGTCGCAGCAGGTGTGGGAGTATTTGACATTTCTTGCGGTTCTGTTGCCATTGTCGTAGTTGTGACATCTGAAATTGAAAGTCAATTAATAATTCTACATATCAACTCTGCGTCAACCAATAATTCTTCATATCATACTCAGCCTCAACCAATAATTCTTCATATCATACTAAGCCTCAACCAATAATTCTTCATATCATACTCAGCCTTAATCAATAATTCTGCATATCATACTCAGTTTCAACCAATAATTCTTCATATCATACTCAACCTTAATCAATAATTCTTCATATCATACTAAGCCTCAA